TGATTTTGTTAATGATGATCAAGGAAAATGGACATGGAATTGAAGCGAGAGTGATGAAATGATAGAAGGAGTTCTAATATCTTCAGATACTTCATATCATGATTTGTATTGTAAAGTGCTAAATCTTTGCGAAGTTGATTCATTTTCGTATAATACGAGAAACGAAACCATGAATTTTACTGTTAACTTGGATGAAAAAACTTGTACTTGTAAACGGTTTCAATTAGAACATTTACCGTGCTAGCATGCAGTAGCTGCGATGAAGAAGAGTGACTATTCAATTTACTTGTTTTGCTATCTGTATTATATTGTTGAACATTGAAGAGTAGCTTACAATGACACTATTTTTCTAGTGCCAAATGAAGTTGATCGGGAAATTCCTGAAAATTTTGACTTCCTCAATGTGTTGCCACTGTTAATACGATGACAAGGTGAACGTACTTACACAACAACGATTCCATCTACTGGAGAGTTTCCGAAAAGACACAAATGTAGTAGATGTGCCGCAACTGGACACAATCGACTAACATGCACAAGTCAGATACCTTTAGTTGATAGAAGATCAGAGGGCTAGTATATTGTTTATTCAGTTAATTTCATGTCGTTCAGATAACAATGCAAATTGATTTCTACTTATTACAATATATGCTCTATCTTGTGAGTTTTTGTTGTAATTCATGCCAAAATTGTGTTTTATAAATGTTGGGCAATTTTTTGCATCTTCGTTTATTTCATATAACAAGTTTTGAATAGAAAACGACTGTGGTCGTTTTAATGGAAAACAACTAAAATCGTTTAAAATGACTTGAGTCGTTTTCACCGATTTACAAAAATGACTCCAGTCGTTTAAAATGACTGGAGCGTTTACAATAAAACGACTGCAGTCACTTTAAATGACTGAGTTGTTTTACATGAAAAAGAGTGTTATCGTTTTAAACGACTCGCATCTCGTTTTCAATCATACGCTCGTTTTTTATATACATTTTTTAACAAAATAATTTGAAATCAAACCAAACACGATTTAGAATGTTATACATTATGATTTAGAAAATACATAATTTGAAATCAATCGACTAAATACTTAAGACATTATGATTTAGCTTATCCAAATCAATTCGCATATCTTTCATTATACATTATTGTTAGTCACATACTTAGAAACTAAATACAGTTCACTTGAACATTATCATTGGAGCACGATGACTTGTATGTAAGCGTGTTCGGTCGTGCTTAAAATCCAAATAGAAATGAAAATATAACCGTTATTGGGTCTCACTCGTCTAATAAAAGTCAAACTAATGCCGACTAACTTCTGTCCCCAAAGTCCACCCATGTGATGCTGTCATCAAGCGATGCCTCCATCACTCGCGCATCACAATGCCAACACGCTACCTTGCCATCCCACTGAATGTTTGCATCACCCAGAGCATCATGTGCACTTCAGAATATGAAGAAAGGAAAGGACTTATCGATTGTATCAATGTTGCACTAAATCAACAACTATTTTTCTTCGTCACAAACCACAAACTAACCCTTGTTGAAGCTGATGCTGCCTATCACAAACCATTTACTACAAGAGTCATCATGGTTGGACCCGGACAGCCGACTAATGTCCTACTCACGGCCGATCAGCCACCAGCGTGCTATTATATGGCTGCATGTGCTTATGCTACAGCCCAGAATGCGCCATTTGACAACACAACCACCACTGCTATTCTCGAGCACCAAAATGGCCAAAGTGGATCATCCTTGACTCCATTATTACCTCAACTGCCGGCCTTCAATGACACTGCCACTGGGACTATTCTTCCTTCAAATGCCAAAGTACCTATTCAAATCGACGAGAACTTGTTTTTCACAGTGGGATTAGGATTTGTCAATTGCACACCTGGACCTAGATGTCAAGGACCAAATAATACTCGCTTTGCAGAGAGTATGAACAACGTGTCATTTTTTCTTCAAAGAAGGACCCCTTTACTGCAAGCCGCTTACCAGATTATACCAGGAGTTTTTACCACAGATTTTCCTCCTGTTCCACCAGTGAAATTCAACTACATATGAAATTTGAGCCGTGCATTGTGGAAACCACATTTTGCGACTAAGCTATACAAACTAAAGTTCGGTTCAAATGTACAAATTGTGTGCAAGACACAGCTATCTTCTCGACTGAGGACCATCCTATTCATCTTCATCGATACCATTTTGTCGTAGAACAAAGATTTGGCAATTTCAACCCCAAAACAGATACTGCTAAACTCAACCTAGTTGATCCACCGGTTAGAAATACAATAGATGTGCCTGTTGGCGGATGGGCAGTGATACGTTTCGTGGCTGATAATCCAGGTGAGATTACGATAAACAAAATCCCCAGTATTTTATATAACACAAAACAAGCTAATTATAATTTTTTTAAACTTCTTTTGTAACAAACAGGAGTTTGGCTTTTCCATTGTCACATAGATTTCCATCTCACCTGGGGTCTGGGGCCGTCTGGCTATGTCTTTCTTGGTTGAAAACGGAAAAGGGAAATCACAATCCATTGAGCCGCCTCCTGCTGATCTGCTGATCTTGAGCTAGACTACTAAAATGAAAAAAATTGTTTAATCCAGCCTTCCGTTTTATAGTTTTGTTTTGCACTATTTGTTCTCTTGATTATTACGTCTCCAGTTCGGGTAACCTGTCCAAGTTTACCAAGAATGAATATTAGTTTGCTGTCGTCGTGCTCATGGTTGCGTGTTCAGATTCTTATTATTATTATTTTTTCCTCTTTTGGTTCTAATAGGTACACAAGTGCATTCTTCAAGTTAAAAGAATTGGCTTTCAGATTGCATCCATTGCAATCATGCATCTTCAAGTGATAAAGAAAATTGTACTGCCAGCTTCATTGCAACTCGGCAATGTAGCCAAAATGATGCAAAATGGATTATAATTCCCTGAATCATGAATTTTTATTATAACTGCATTTGGATTCCAGTTTTCATTACAGGTTTATGAAGCCTCAGAAATTGAAACAAATTGATTGATAACGAGCTACAATGCAAAAGTAAATGTTACAGGTGTAAAAAACCAGTCAAACCCACTGTCTTGAAATGATCTTTGTAATCTCTTTCATTAGAGAGTAAAACCCACTCTTCGGAGTTTCAATCTTTATAGAATCCTTGTAGAA